AAAAACTTTGAAATGATGACGTCAATCGTGCATCTGTCCTCTAATAGATCATAGGCGAGAACCAATCAAAATGCGAGAATAACTTGGATTATTATATAATCTGTGATAGATAGTGAGTAGTGTAGCAGCGTGCGCTGTGGGCTGCTTCTTTGTGTTTTTGAAGTGTCTGTGAAGAGAATTTACGGATGAAAGTTTTGAACGACTAGTAGATTTATACTAAAACAATTAGATTATTCACTCTCAATTTCTTTTGCAATAGTTGCATAGAATAGAGAGAAATCTGAAGCTCATAATCTAATTGTTTAATAGAAACACCCATGAAAGTTTGGGAGAACTCGAAAAAGCTGTGGAAACACTCACCTGCAGCTCATGTTCCCACGGCATTTCTCGTTCTCCCAAACTTCCACTCATGTTTCTGTAACTCGATAGAAACACAGTACATGATTTCTGTCTCTTAAAGGAGCTCAATCATGGTGTTTTGTCTGTTTGTTTGGCCACGTACAAAATCTCTTTTAAATGGAAGGAAACCTGAAATAATAGTTTACTAAGATATAAAGCATCAAAGAGATAATAATAAACCATAAAGCTGGAACAAGGATGGTCAAGGATTGCGAAGATTGACACGGATTGCAAACGACGAATGTGAAAAATTTAGGCTAAACTTTTCAAAATGTGCAAACCGTGACTGAGCTCCTTTAAATAATACGGGCTTACATGGATGTTGTAGGTTTTTCTAACGGGAGTTACTGTCTACAGGTATTAATTATTTGACATACAAGTCACGATAAACAATCCCACTAGAGCATATATCAATCATTCAGTACAATATGCAGACTGTAAACATGTTGTCAAATATTTGGGGGAAAACAACAGTCTTTGTCTTAGTCTCCATTTTGTACCCAGTCTGCAGTCAGTGTCTGCAGTCTGCATTTTGTACTGAGTGATACTAACTACTTATTAACAGGGTAAAATTAACAAATGTGCTATTTTTATAAGCCCATAAATGGCTCTCTTCTAAACCATTTCAATGAACACTTAGTAATTAACAATACACAACAGAACAGAAGCATGTGGTATGCCAGCTATAATTCTATCTGCCCTCATTATAAGCATGAGATTGAAGGAGGCTGTTCTTTTGCTGTATCAGCAGCAAGACTTTGGAATAATGTGCCTCTAAATACCAGAAAATTAGACTCCGTTAAGTCCTTAAAAACTAATTTATTTAAAACGATCTTCGCAGTGCAGCAACATTTGGACCATTTTAGGATTTAACTTTTTAAATTTAAGTTTTTAATCTTGTTGTAACTTTTATTGCCAACGAGACAGGCGAGTGAAAATGCGAGCCTGTCGAGGCAGCAGGATATAGAGCCGTGCATAGTTTGATGGCTATGCAGAAAAAATCTCAGATCTTCCAGCTCGATTTTTGTGTAATCCGGTTCCATCAGTGATATTTTTTGGCCATATTAGGATGTAGGCAGATGTTGTCGATATATAGCACGAACCAATCAGAACACTATTTTTCTTTGTGACGTTCGAGGCTTCGATGTTTGTTCAGCTCTCTTGCGTGCAGAACTATTTTGCCTACCATTCTGCTATTTTAGGCGTATACATCTTGGATTTGCTGTGATTGAATCATAAAATTGTTAAAGCTCAACAAGACCCGAGTTGTTTGCTGAAATGAATTCGAGTGTAGACAAACTACTTACCAAAATAATTCTTCAAACGGATAGCGAACAAATCCTGAGTGCTACCCTGAATCAAATAAACAACGCTCGAATTCATTCCAGAAAACAACTCGGGTCTTGTTGAGCTTTAACAATTGTGCGATTCAATCACAACAAATCCAAGCTGTATACACCTCAAAAAGCAGAATGGTAGGCAAAATAATGGCCCATCGAGGTCCTGCACGCAGGATTTTTAAAAATACAAAAAAATTAAGTGTTTAGTATTTTGTTCACTCACTGAGTTGAAAAATAAACAATGTTGTGTTCAATTACATCAATAATTTGAAACATTAACTAAAAGAAATTCATTTCAACACCTGTTATACTAGAAGTATCCCAGATAAATATTACAAAATTCAATCGACTCCCATTGACTAACTCAATTCACTCATTGGCACCAATAGGTACAACTAGTTATATTATATAGTTGTATTCATAGTTTTATTTTCTGAGGGCTGCAAGTTTCTTAGCCTTTGGCTATCAAGTGTTTAACCCTCCGTAAATAAAGTCTTTATTATTATTATTATTATTATTATTATTATTATTATTGTTATTATTATTATTATGATTATTATTATCATTATTACTATTAACTGAGAGTGAGGTCTTTACGGGAAAGTCTCAGACCAAGACCTTGCTGTATTGACCAAACGATAGCTAGGTGTCAATACGGCAATGTCGAGGTTTGAAATTTTCCCATAAAAACCGAACGTTCGAGGTAAAAAGTTGTTTATTATATGGCTTTTTGCTTTGTTTTTGGAAGCCCGTAATTGGCCTGTGGGCATTACGGGAGAATAATGCCCTACAATTAGCCAATCAGAGTGCTCGTTATATCAGCTACAAGAACAATCCATATAATAAATGTATATTAATGGACCTGTCACTGCACATAGCTGAGGGACCTTGGTTCTTACTGTAATATAGCAAGAGTCAATTAAAAGACCTGCAGCTTAAGCTCATGCATTTCCTCTTTATCTTGTTCATAGCTTCGTACAACTAAAAAGGTAAACTGGTCTGAGAGAATCCTTGAGCAATTGCATTTACCAAACATTTTCAAGGATGATGTACCAGGCACGCCCAATGACTATTTCACTTGTACATTTCAAGCAAACAAACTCAACAAGTAAGTAAATCACAGTATAAGCCTGTAAATGAGCTCTAAATAACATTCGACAAGGAAGATATAGTAATGATATTGTAAATATGTGAAGTTGTCACAAACTATTAAGAAATTTCATGAAACTAAGGGTTCCTTTGATCGTGATACTGCAGCTTTTGTCAACTGGCAATAAAATGCCATTCAGCTTTACAATTGCACAGTTTAACTTGAATACAACAGCCATTCTAGGACAGAATTAACTGACTGTTGTTCAAAGCTCCAGGTCATTTTAGAGAGATTTTGGTGTATGTACAGTTGTAATTCAAAAGCTTGGCTCTGGCAGCATTTAACTCTTTTCATTCATTTTATACTTTGTGATGTTTATCTCACCCACTGAATTTGGAAGAGTTTGCAATTGGTGACTGACCCCTAAACAGATAGAAGGACCCAGGAATCCCATTAGTTTTCAGAAGGAGGGTCACTGGGTTTAACAGGCTGGAAAAACTCTTTGAATTGTCAAACTTCTTTATAAGAAATATTTTCCACTAGATGTTCAAACCAGGCAGGCAAATCATCCTTTATATAGCCGGCCAATTTTCCCGGTGCCCAGTCCTTAATGAAAATCCTGAGAACCACTTGGTTTTTCCATAGTCAGTCATTGGATCTTAAAATTTGGGTGAGGAAGTAAAATTCATGGTAGGTATATAAAATTCCTTCATTTATTATATTGCCAGGTTTATTGGCCATGAAGATCCAGAGACTTACTTTACAGAAACAGAAAGAACAAGAGTGGTAAGTAATATTTTGAAAGGCTGTTTGTGTCATTTTGGTCAAGTGTAAAATCAATAAATTTTGCCATATTCATGTAATGTACTATCTAGCCTATCATGATTGGAGTAGAAACCCTACCATAGCTGATCCATAGAATTCTTGTCTTAGTAGACCCTCTTCAGTAAGTTAAAAGTAGGGTATTATGTAGTCATTAATAAAATAATCAGGTGATGGAATGCATGTTTAATTGGTTGTCTAGTTGTTTTGTGTGATAAAAATGGTATATGCTGATAGAGAACATTAATTTGTTAAAAAAAAAACATTTCTTAATAGATATGCTGTTTTTCTTTCAAGGTGTATGAAATCATGGAAACTGCCCCATTTGGCAAGCGACAGAAAGGAGAAATTGGTAGGAACATAGTCAAATGAAATGAGTTTTTTGTGACAATCAGATGTTAATTTATGTGAAAGTAGTCATAATAATACTTGGAGGATAACAGTGGAAAGAGAACTTTAGAAGCAAGGCCTAAGGACCTGGGTAGAGACAGCATTGGCTGTAGAGGATATGATAGCCTGGAAGCAGAGAGCCTCTGGCCAATTCTCTAGTAGGCTGAGAAAGATCAAATGCTGATGATGAGTCATAATAACATAGCTATAATAAAGTGTATTATCGTTTGTCTCACGATGTAGTCACTTGAGATGTAGATCGCGACGTTTCGACTGCTTACTGCTAGTCTTCTTCAGGC